TGAGGGCAATGAATGTACAAATGCGCTTTACACAATTGATGTATGTATGGATTGTGATAAGAGTTGTATGAGCCCCTAATAAAACGAGCATTCCATCTTAACAACTCGCCCTAATCTTTTCTGATTGCGATCATTGCTGTGCTGAGTAACCTTGTCCCTCCGCCATTTCACAATGAATGAGCAGCGGTGACTTCCTGTGAAGCTAATGAGCCCGAGAGGACCCTGGGGGCACAAACAGTGAGCCATTGTCCACCAGCCTAAAGGTTGACGGTTCAAACCCATCAAGCGGTGCCGCACAGGGAGGGCTCAGCTATCTGTTCCCGTAAGAAGGCAGCCAGGAAGCCTCCCCAGGGCAGTTCCAGTCTGGGGCTCTCCGGGAGGGAAATGGACCCAGTGGTGGCAGCTTTGGTGTGGGACGAAGCAGTAAGCTTTGGGGCCATGACCGCCTGGCACCCTTCTTTCTAGCTAGCCTTCTCAATCTCTTCTCATCCTGTGGTCAAAGATGGCCGTTCAGGGGTCAAGATTCAGGCCCTGCTCCTGTGGAGAAGACCTGCAAGGTCCATTTGCTCGGGGTCTGAGGTTCATGTCCTCGGATGTGAAGGTTGTACCTGCTGGTTGACAGGGAGCCTGTGGAAGGGCTGGGGGCCTCTGTGGACCCCAGACAGGGTTTATGACCACAGGCCTTTTGGGGGGAGGGCTGCAGATTCATCTCAGATTCTCCATGGGAACACTACGAGTCAGGAGTGGAGAGGGAAGTCCCGGGTGGTGGATGTGGTGACACGCTCAAGGACCTGCTGGGAGGTTGGAGGTTTGAACCCACCCAAAGGCACCTTGGACAAAGGCCTGGTGATCTCCTGGGAGGTCATGACCTTGGAGACCATGCTAAGCTCAGTGCACTCTGTGTGCGAACAGGGGACACCTCGGGAGGACGCAGCTCAGTGACCGTCACCAACAGCAGCAGCCATTTAGAGGGACGTCCACACACTTCAGGGCACGGACACCTGGGTTGGAAGCCCAGCCCTCCCTCCTGTAGCTATGCACCATCACCTAGCCTCGGTTTACCCGTCTGTCGAGAGAGGACAGTCACGGGGCAGGGGGCCGTGAGGAGCACAGGAGAACACGCCTGTCAAACCCCATCAGGGCCTGTGGGCCCCACCAGCTCTCCCTCAGGCCACCTCCTTCCACCCGCTCCACCTTCTCCAAGCCCAGGGACACACAGCCTCCCGACCTGGGATGCCCACACTGGGGCCTCCAACCTGGGCTGGGGTCGGGGGAGCCCAGAGTTCCAGCCACCAGTGTGTGGGTCCCACCCTTGTCTGGACCACTGGCCGTGGAGAAGGCCCGCTTTCTGGGTCATGGAGACTGGGGCATCTTACCTTGGGGCGTGGCTCTGGCTGGGGTTGTCCAGGCTACTCCGGCTGGGGGTGACACCCTCTGGGGGCGGCGGAGTGCATGACACAGAAAGACCTTCTGTTGTGGCTTTGAAGATGGTGGTGAAAGGGTTACTTGTAGGTGTGCTTGCAGGTGAAGGTCGCACTGGGGCTAGAAACATAGGTCAGACCCAGGAGCTCTACGCACACTGCCCCCGCCCTTACTCCAACTCGCCAGTCCCCCTGGTTGGCTGGAGCACACCACATTGAGGAAAGGGCAGCACAGAGGAGCCTGGGCCAGTCTCCCAGGAGCCCCTGGGCCTAGGAAGCACTTCTAGCAGGACACAGGTGCCCAGCTGTCCCCATTCCCTCCTGGGACACAGGCCGGGTCACTGAGAGCCCCAGACCCCTCCCCACCCAGTCTCTTCCCCCCAAGCTCAGCCATGCAGCGTCCAGAGGGCACAGCGGTCCTGTCAAGTGTCCAAGTGCCCCTGAGCCTAGCCTCTGCCCACCCAGCCCTCCTGCCCTCTGCTCGGCTCTCAGCGCCCCCACCTGCTCTCAGGTCCTGGGGGGCTGCCCCTCTCTTTTGCAGGAGCCGCTCTCAGCCCCCCTCCTCCATGTCAGGACTGAGCAGAGAGGTCAGTTCCCAGGAAGCCCTCTCTGACCCCATAGGTCTGCTTGCTGCCCCTGCTTCGGGAGTCTGTCTGTCTGAGGATACAGGCCCCTACCTCCTTGACCCCCCCTTGGCCACATCTTCTGGCTTGTCTCCATCTTCTGGCTTCTCAGCACCTGGCAGAAAATGGCCCTGCATAATCGGGCTGCTGGGTGACTGCCCGATGGACCAGCACTTTGCTGCTGGGAGGGCAGGGGAGGGAGGCTCCCAGGTTAAGGAGAGAGGCAGGGGTGCTGTGGAGGGGACCCCTCAAGATGGAGAGCTCCCCACAGGCAGCCAGGGGTCAGCTGAGCCTTCTCCACAGTTGATGCAGCTGCCCCAGGGCCCGACTCAGGGATGAGCAGGCCCTTCAGGGCCACAGTTTGAACAAAGTCTCAGGAAACCGGCCTTTGCTGGGCAGCCAGGGAGGGGGAGCTACAGCAGGTGGTGGGAGGGGCAGGTGATGTAGAGTCTTGGGGGGAGGGGCCTGGTTTGAGGATCAGAGGGCAATCAGGACACGGGGTTGGGCTGGGGCTGGGCCATCACAGTGTGTCCCCTCTGGCCCTGGGAATCCTGGGTGGTGACCTGCTGGCCGCGGAGGTGACAGGAGCCTGCAGAGTGGGCCCGTCCACAGGGCTCCAGAGGGGAAGGATGTGTGAGGGTCCCCTTCCTGGGGGCTCAGCCTCAGGTCCTGCTCACTCACCCTCCCACCAGCCCCGGGATCTCCCACCCTCAGAGAAGGTGACAAGTCAGGGCACTTGGGCTCACCCTGTCTCTCTGTCTCTCTCTGTCTCTGTGTGTATGTGTGTCTCTTTTACACACACACACACACACACACACACACACACACACATCTTTCCCCAAATCTCTGACCAGACCTGCCCCAGCTGTGTTTGGGCCTGAACTTGTTCAGACAGCCCTGGGGCTCCTGTGGGGGAGGGGCTCACCTGGGGACACAGACACCACCACCTGGAAGTTGGGATCCGACACTCTTCCATCTCCCCAAAGTGTGACATGAACCCCACACCAGTACGCGCCTTGGTCGTCCACGGTGAGGTTCCTCAGGGTCACTGTGAAGCTGAGCTTGGTGGGCTGGTCCTTGATGGACACTCGGCCCCTCCTCCCCTGGGTCGTTGATCCTCCAGTCTTCACGATCTTATCACATGTTGCCCAAATCGATCCTCTGCACCAGTATTTGTCATTGTCTTTGTATTTCTCCTTGTACCGACAGCGCACGCTCAGAGTCTCCCCCTCGGTGCCCGACACAGTCTTGGGCCCCGTCAGCGCCATGGAGCCTGGAAAACACAAACCAAGTCCCAAGCCCTCACCTAGACGGGGTGGGTCAGCAGTGGTCCGGGGGTCAGTCCTGAAGCTTCATCCCGCCCCCCTCCCCGCACCAGGACCCCGAGTCACACTGAGTGCCCTCCCCTCCCCCTCTGCCCACCCCAAGAGGCTCCTCACTGCAGCCCCTTCCTGTAGACCCCAGTTTCCTTCCTGCTGCCCTCCCCCTGCCTCACCGACCACAGACCCTCTGACTCCCAACTGACCAGGACTTTAAGAGCCCCTCCCCCAGCACCCAGCCCTCTGCACAGAGAGAGGCCTCTCCCAGGTCAGAGAGCAGCCCAGCCTCTCACACGCCCTCTGCCCCTGCAAGGGACAGAATCCAGGGCCAGATAACAGCTGCTGGATCATTTCTGCAAAACTGCTGGACATCCTAGAGGCCATTTGCGGGTCACAAAAGATGCACATAAACCTAAGGTGTGCTTTTCAGTTTCCCAAACTGCTTGGCCTAGGTGGCTGCATTACTGCTCACACAGAGAGCTGCAGGCGAGGGAGGCCAGCGTCCGGCAGGAACCCTCCGCAGCGTGGCCCAGCAGGACCGCAGGGACACTACCAAACAACAGCAGCCCCACACAGGCAGGGTTGGCATTTCACCCCGGGCTCCCTTTAATCCGCCCAGTTCTTGTTCACTTCATTTTCCTTTAAAATCATTTTATTGGGGCTCGTACAATGCTTATCACAGTCCATCCATCCATCCGTTGCATCCGCGGTGTCAAGCACGTTTGTCCATTCGTTGCCATCATCATTCTCAAAGCATTTGCTTTCTACGTGAGCCCTTGGTATCAGCTCCTCGTTTTCCCCCTCCCTCCTCAACACCCCTCCTTCACGAACCCTTGATAATTTATAAATTGTTATAATTTTGTCATGGCATACACCATCTGAAGTCTCCCTTCACCCACGCTTCTGTTGTTCATCCCCCAGGGAAGAGGTTATATGTAGATCCTTGTGAGCAGTTCACCCTTTCGACCCTACCTTCCCTCACCCTCCTAGTATCGCTACTCTCATTATTGGTCCTGAGGGGTTTATCTGTCCTGGTTTCCCTGTGTTTCCAGTTCTTATCTGTACCTGTGCACATGCTCTGGTCTAGCTGGATTTGTAAGGTAGAATTGGGGTCATGATAATGCGGGGGGAGGAAGCATTAAAGAATTAGAGGAAAGTTGTATGTTTCATCAGTACTATACTGCACCCTGACTGGCTCGTCTCCTCCCTGAGACCTTTCTGTACAGGGATGTCCAGTTACCTACAGATGGGCTTTGGGTCTCCACTCCACACTCCTCTTCATTCACAATGATATGATTTTTTGTTCTTTGATGCCTGATACCTGATCCCATCGACACCTCGTGATCACACAGGCTGGTGTGCT